TCATAATTACGAGATAAGATCTCATAATTACAAGATAAGATCTCATATTACGAGATAAGATCTCATATTAGGAGATAAGATCTCATAATTACGAGATAAGATGTCATAATTACGAGATAAGATGTCATAATTATGAGATCCTGATCTCCTGTGGATTTTGAGCAGGTAACGGTCCTGGACGTGTACGTGTGTAATGCTGAAGGCACGAGTGCCCAGAACAAGCTGTACAATGTTAATTCACCAGAGATAAATAAAGTTGTGAGCCAAGGTTGAAACAGAAGTGTGTGGTCGTTGTGTACATACATACAGGACATAATTTAAGTATTTCAGAGGCATAGCTACTTATAGCCGTAGCATCCCGTACTGCAGGAAGAGAGCGACTTCCAGTATGTCAGAGTGGGCTTTTCACTTGAACAACCACAAGGATGATACCTGCGTAATGTCGACACACTATCATACATACAGCATCACACCATCTCTGTAATGTTGTGTTCAAACTGTACTGAATCGGACTCTTATTTTGAAATATCCGTTTGCTGAAACCAGAAGCACCACTACCAGCTAAATGACGATGTTATGTTTGTGCCGAAGCTGCCAAGTACACCTCGAAGCTGAAATGAACAGAACACTGTAACYGATGTGCAGGTGGATGATTAATAAACCCACATTAACAGATACAACACCATCCACATTAAGTAAACTCAATATTTCCCAATATTTCATACCTAAGAGGGAATAAAAACATTTAAAATGTGATAGTGATATCGTTGTTTACTTCTCATGTAATGTAAATCAGCTGACCCTCTTTAACTTATCGTGTAATTATGAGATCCTGATCTCGTAATTATGACATCTTATCTCATAATTATGAGATCTTATCTCATAATTATGAGATCTTATCTCATAATTACGAGATCCTGATCTTGTAATTCTGAGATCAGGAGCTAAATAGTTTTTATTAGGTGAATGCAATGCTCTTCCGTATACAACACATTACAGCAAGGAAAATAAAGGCAGAACAATACTAACAGGAGAGAGACAGAGCCATCACAACCCATCAGATTTAAAACAAAATGCAGATTTTTACACTAAAYTTTGGATAAAAGAGTAAGATCAAAAAGAGTAAAATAGCTCCATATAGCTTGTTGTCATAGTTTACTTCTATGCAGTGACAGAAATGATGTGTAAAAACTTTATGTGACTGCTTTAATCACTAAAGAGCAGAGTAATAAAGTCACTACTGGAGTTAAAAACTAACAATCATCAAATGTTTCACAGACAGAAAACATCTGCATCATGTTTGTCCATCGTGTCATTTAATGTGCGTCTAAACTGACACAACATCAGGTTTGTGTTGTGAGAAACTGGGCTGGGACACCTGACCCAGCAGGTTCTGAATGAGCCCGTCCAGTCTGCAGTCTGAGCCAGGAAAGATTGACCCATCTCGGGTTAGCCGCAGGAGACGTGTGTGCACGTATGTGTGTGCACGTATGTGTGCGCACGTATGTGTGTGCAGGTATGTGTGTGCAGGTATGTGTGTGCACGTATGTGTGCGCACGTATGTGTGTGCAGGTATGTGTGTGCAGGTATGTGTGTGCAGGTATGTGTGCACGTATGTGTGTGCACGTATGTGTGTGGGCGGGGTCAGAGGAAAGGTCGAGGCTGATCGAGGGAACAAACGACAAGAATACCTGGAGTGGGAACGACAACTACAATAACACAACGATGATGTCAGAACAACACAACAACAAACATGTTGAAGAAGGATTGCTTTAGGGTCTTTTAGGGGGTTTTAATGACCTAATGTCCTGTGGAAGTGGTTCTCCTGAAGCCATCCAGAACTCTACACTGCACAGACTCATCAGCAGGGCTGTATGTGGCATGAATCTGATGATATACGTATCACAACACAGGGGTCATGATATGATATACTGCAATAATATAAGMAAGACAATATATTGCCATTTTTTCAAAAAGACTATAATAAAAACTCAGTATACAGTATTTTTCATGCAAACGGAAGAAAACTGAACAAATTAAGAACTGCATTTTTATTTTACATTTCTTCAAACATCCATCTATTAAGCTTTAAATAAAAACCCATTCAGTATCAGGAAATGAAATATTTCAATGTGTTGATACTTTCTTATGAGGGTTTCATTGTAGTACTACAGTACTACTAGGAATCAAACCAGCAACCATCTGATACACTGCTCAAAGCTCTGAGCCACAGCTGCCTCCTCAGACGGTGCAGCAGCCAATCAGAAGAGTCGGCTGATGTCTGCACTGCAACACATCACAGTGTCGTTTCAGCTGCAACAACTTTCTCCGTTCATCCTGACCAATGCTGTTCTGGGGCTAAACTTTTAAAGCACGGCGTTCCCCAAGGCTCAATCATAGGTCCTATTTCATTTATCTTATATTTATTGGCTCTTGGTCAGATTTTTCATAAATGTAATATTTCCTTTCACTGCTTTGCAGATGACATACAGATTTATACGCCCCTTTAGCTACAAAATGGTACGAATGAATCTCTTCAGCTACTGACAGACTGTTTGGATGAAGTTAAATCTTGGATTGAACAGAACTTTATTCACCTCAATCAAAGTAAAACTCAAGTTATATTATTTGGTCAAAAATTTCAGATTACAAATTTAGATCAGATTCTTGGTCCTTTAGCTCGGTTCTGTCAGACCTCTGCTAGAAATCTTGGTTTCACTTTTGATACCTCTTTAAAATTAGATAAACGAGTTAGTTCTGTCGTTAAATCTGGTTTTTATCACTTGTGGATTTTAGTAAAAGTTAAATCTTATTTCTGTTTTAAGGACTTTAAAGGACGTGTCCATGCCTTCATTACATCTCATTTGGATTACTGTAATTCATTACATAAATGGATAAATCACAGATGCAGTGACTTCAGATGATCCAGAATGCAGCAGCACTGCTCCTTACAGGAACCAGGAAGCATGACCATATAAGGCCTTTACTGGCATCTTTACATTGGCTGCCTGTTCCTTATTGAACAGATTTTAAGATCCTTTTATTAACTTACAAAGCTTTAAATG